GCATATTAAATTAACTTTCTCACCTACTTCAAGAATTAGAAGAAGAAGTTAAACACCTGCAATGGGACATAATCGGACTATCGGAGGTAAAAAGAAAATGTGAAAACTGCATCTCGCTAGAGTCTGGAAACATATTGTATTTTAAAGGTAGAGAAAACGAAATTTTAGATGGAGTTTTTTAATTTTGAAAAAATACGCTCATAGAATTGAGAAATACGTAGGAATAACAGAAAGAATCACTTTATTAATCATAAATATCAGCGAAAAGGTCACTTTAAAATAATTCTGATTTATGCGCCAACATCTACACACACACAGACAAAGAAATGGAAGAATTCTATGAACACCTCAGAGTCCACTGGTAGTGATCACAGAATGATACGGGCTAAAATAAGTATTAAACACAAAAAAGATCGAAGACAATATGTGCACTCTAAGAAAAAAGTCCACCCAGAAAAATTAAAGGAGAATAAAGAACAATACCAAAACAAATTAAGAACAGCTGAAGAACTACAGCTAACAGACCTAAATCTAGATCAACTAAACAAAGCCATCACTGAAGAACTTCTAAAGACTAGCTTAGAAGTAGCACCAGCAAAATCAGACAAAAAATCAAAACTAAGTGCCATACCTTTAGACATGCTACAACAACGGAGAAGCCTACTACAAGAAAATAAAAGAAATACAACTGAATACAAAACCCTTAATACAGAAATAAGAAGACATATAAAACAAGATCTCAAACGGCATCAAGAAGAACGAATCGAGAAGATTATAGAAGAAAACAGAAACTTAAGATCTATCAAGTCCCACCTAGGAAGAAATAAAATCATAGAGATGGAAAATAAACAAGGTGTAATAGAAAAAAGCAGAACCCAAATATCTAAGATAACAAGGGAATATTATAGTGACCTCTACAGCTCTAAAAACAGTCCACCTGATACAACTCAACAAAACCTGAAAAAGAAAATAATGAATGTAAACTCTGAAATATTACCCCCCATAACCGGAGAAGAAATAGAAAAAGCAATTAGAGATATGAAAAGAAATAAGGCTCCGGGAGACGATGAAATTCTAATTGAAATGTTAAAAGAAGGAGGGGAAAAGATAAAAGACTACCTAAAGATACTTTTCAATAAATGTTTGTTTGAAGGACAAATACCGCAAGAGTGGAACAAGGCAAATACAATTCTGATATATAAGAAAGGAAATAGATCAAAATTAGCTAACTATAGACCAATATCTCTCTTGTCACAAATCTATAAAACTTTCACTAAGGTGATCACAACTAGACTAAACAACAAATTTGATGCATACCAACCAGTTGAGCAGGCAGGATTTAGAAAGGGGTACAGCACAACCGACCACCTTCACACTCTTAAAATATTGATAGAAAAGACCAACGAATACAACCTTCCAATATACCTAGCGTTTGTTGACTATGAAAAAGCGTTTGACAGCATAGAACTATGGGCAGTGGAAGAAGCGCTAGTTAATTGCCGAATAGATTCACGGTACAGAATGTTAATTCACAATATATATATATATATATATATATATATATATATATATATATATATATATATATATATATATATCAAAACGCCACTATGAGAATTCAGCTAGACAGAGATTTGCAAACTCCATTAATTAGAATTTGTAGAGGTGTCAGACAAGGGGATACAATCTCACCCAAACTATTTACTCTGACGTTGGAAGACATTTTTAAATCTATAGACTGGGACAATAAAGGGATTTGTATAAACTGGAAATATTTAAATCATCTAAGATTCGCCGATGATGTACACCTTATAGCAACAACTATGGAACAACTACGAATAATGATTTCAGACCTAGAAAAAACATCTCTTGAAAAAGGACTAAAAATGAATCTAAAGAAAACTAAAATAATGACTAATACAGAAGACAGATCAGTAATTACCATGGTGGAACAAACATAGAACACATCCAAGAATATATTTACTTAGGACAAGCTATCAGAGCAGACAAAAGTAACCAGACTAAATAAATAACCAGAAGAATAAGAATGGGGTGGGCTGCATTCGTAAAACTCTCATATACTATCAAAAACCAATAAATACCTTTAAAATTAAGAACGAAGGTATTTAATGCATGCGTCCTACCTGTTCTGACATATGGTGCCCAGACGTGGACGTGTACCAAGAGCAACTTAGATAGAATAAAGAAAACTCAAAGAGCTATGTGAAGACAAATGTTGGGAATATCGTTGAGGGATAAAAAGAGGAACGAGTGGATAAGATGCAAATCCGAAACAACAGACGCTGTCGAACATGCATTGAAATTAAAATGGAAATGGGCTGGGTATAACGAAAGATATCAGGATGGAATAAAGAAATAGGCCGCTGGAGACCATCTACTGCAAAAAGGTCAATAGGTCGACCGCAAATGAGATGGAAAAATGACATTGAGCAAAGCGCAGGTCCAATGTGGAAAAGACAAACAGAAGACAGAGACAAATGGGAGAAGCCTATATTCAACACATTAATATATTTTGGGCTATAGATAGATAGATAGACCTACTTCAGGTCGTATAATTTTTTCCTCTAGTCATAAACATGTGTGTGAACACATATCTGTACCTGGTGTACGAAAGCCTAAATTGCAATTTTTGTTAAACACCTCCGGAAAAAGCCTCTCTTGACAGGTTCATTTGACGGATCACTTGAGTAAAAACAGTAGAGCTTAGTAATATTTAAGTTTTCAGACAAATATCTCCGTTCGGATTTGCCATGGAAATAATGTGACTTAATACATTTTAGCTTCATTATAAAAGCCATAACACTTTGCTTCTTAGCTAAAAAATTTGTTGGCTTTCTGTCTCCAGCCTTTCCTGCAATAGGTACATTTTTGTCCTTTTTATAATTTTCAATGATTGTTCTAACTCTGTCGTGTAATACGAAATATATTAAGACATTTACAAATTATCACTTAAATTAATAAAATATTTATACGTCGTTGTTTTAGCTGATCTCCTGGATCTCTCTTCTTGCAATTCTTGCTGCTTACGTCATCTGTTTACATCCTGTATTTCAATACTATTTAATATAAATCATCTTGTGTAATCTTTGTTGAATTGGAGTTGAAGTTATTTGTTCACTTAGTTTCAATTTTCTGCACTCAAAAGCTGTGGATTTGTGCTGACACTGCGGTGGTTTAGGTACTTTTCCGATCTATCTGAAATAGAAAAAAAAAACTGTTTTCAGATCTCCTGGAAAATTGGTGAGTCAAAAACAAGAGATTTTAAATTCAGATAAAGGATTAATACATACTGTTACAAATAGTACTCTTATCTGAGACGTTTCTTAACATAACATTTCCATGTTTCAGGTTGTCTAATTATTTTTCGGCATTTCGTTGGTGTTAGGTACTGGATACATGGTGATTAATAAAGTTCTTAAATTTGGATTAATGTACTATTAAATGCTAAAATTTGTAAATAACCAAGCACTGATTAAAGTGAATCGGCCATGTTTCTTGTTTACGATATTCAGGTCACGTGAATGAAAAAAAGTCTCCTGATTGGCTCCATGAAATCTCCATGGCCTAACATGGGTTGTTTTGATACGGAAATCTCCCAAAACATAGGTTACTTTAAAGTGGAAGGCAAACTTTCCAATGTTTTTCAGGCAAAATTTTAGCTGTTTTATCAATTAAGTTTAATTTTCTTACTGATGCCTGGGATACTGTATATCATTTTTCATATAAAAAAGCTTGCACGTCATTCAAGATTTATGTCGTCAGAACCCCACAGCGTTGCCAAAACATCAGAATAGTTAGTAAGTGAGGAATTTTTAAAATGTCAACTATTTGTCAAACTATTACATTAATAGTAAATACACTTAGTTTTAAGACTACAGCAACACATTAAAATACATAAGAACACATTTTAATACAAAATTATATATTCTAAATTTTAAACTTACCTCTTTTAGGGCTTTAATAGTAAAAATGTCCCGCCATTATTTCTTGTTCAAAATAATCTATCTTATATGAAAGCTTATCAGCTTTCTACAGACTATTTATTTGTTTTGGCATATCACAATCACAATACACAACAATAATTAGTTTTTAAAGCTATTAATCTAAATTTAATATGTATTTATAAATACAATTTATTAATATATATTATATTATGATCAAATTGTGTAAGAAATCAAAACATAAACAAAATTCTACTCTAAAAAAGCGGCAACACTTTATACAATTTTGCCACACGCTTAACTGTCAATAAAATTTGAAGTATTTCCGTATCACTTGCGTACAATTGTCTAATATATTTAATTAAAGTTATTATTTGTGGAATATTAGACTTAAAGAGTTATTTCATAAAATTTATGTTATTAATAATAACAAATGTTTTTGGTTATTTAATCAATATAATTCTAAAATTTCCAATATAATGATGATTACATTTTTTGATTATTACACCATGTTGACGCCTATGAAAGATCGAGCAGTTTCGTATGGGTTTCGTATTATTAGCTGTGTTAGGAAAATTTGAACTCTAACGTTGATGTTCTGGAAATTTTAAATACAAGTGACGTCACTTTGTATAAATCGTGACGTGCAAGTGTTTTACTTTGAAAAAGGGTATATGGAAATATTTGAATTAAGTAGGTACCTTTGTATAAAATAATTAGCATTTATTCTATGTAGGTGCTCTGTGCCTATTCGTTTAGAATAAGGTTTTGTAATAGTGCCTAACGTAATAATACATTTTTACGATCTCATCATACTTAATACATACTTTTAATAAAACTATAGGAAAAAAATTTAAAAAATTTAAAGATTTTAAATAAATTACAAAGTATTCATTTTTGTGGTATGTATCACAACTTAATACCCAGTTTATACGATTAAATTAAAATATCCAATAATCCCGTTTGTATTACTTGAGCGGTAAAATTAAACAAAAGCCGTATTTTAAACAAAAGCCTGAGAATATTTGTTTGTTTCAGCTTCAGGCCGCGAATCCGAGAGCGTCATCCAAAAATTCCGCAAAACGTTTTCGCTGCACTTCCATCACCAGCGAAAATCCAAATCTGCCGGCGAAAAAGAAGACGATCCGGTCGTTTCGCCGCCTCCATCCGTAGCCGATCTGCCGATGTGCGATGCGCCCGAAGAGGAGTCAATGCCCCCTCACGTGCCGCCTCCATCGGCCACGTGTCCGATCGATGCACCGCCGTCTGCTGCGTCCCCCACGCCACCTAGGATTCCCACACTAGAGGACGACGTCGCCGACGGCTCTAGCGGAGAGCAACAAGGCCCAGCCGCCTCCAATACCGAACATAAATACAAGTAAGAAAAGCGATTTGTTTTTGGTTTGTTGTTTTTTAGTTTTAGTGTAATTTAGTGAATTATGGGCGGAAAGTTATGCAAGCACCCTTTGCACGGTAAGTTTAACCCTTCTTCTTGTTACGTAACTGTTACATTTATATGGCGTGCGATTTTGAAGCCGCACTTGCGAAAAATGGTTTATTATTAAATATATACGACAGTTCATATTATTCATTTTATATGCATAATTAGTAAGGTAGCAATGACTAAAACGTGCTTTTAAATTGTTTTGATATCTTTGACATTTGACATTGACAGTGTTGAAATAATTGGTGTTTATTTTTATTCGACGTTTAGTTGAGTTCATAGCTAGTGATGGCTCAAAAAGGGTTTGTTATTTATTTGATTTTTGAATATGCATCTTCATCTTGATATTTATTAGCTGCATACTATATCTAACCTCGTTGTGCATTGTCTAGCCTAGCCAAATATTAGTTAAAAGAAGCTTAAACCGGGAAACAAGAACTAAAAACATTTAAATTGGCTGATTATTGTCGTTGTTGACGCATATTATTCAAATTGATTTTCTATAAATAACATCCAATTGGTTTTCAAAAATACTTACTTTATATTTGATGTTTCGAATTTTATTTCCTAATCAGTCTCAAAATACTGAAACAAAATATTTTGTTATGTTATTTGGAAATAAATATTATTTTTCTAATAGTTTAATTTTGTCTGCATTACTAATAATAATGACAATTAAGACATGTACATTACATTTTAAAATAGAGGTCTTTGAATTACTTTTCACCTTTGTTCTGTGTTTTGCTGTCCATCTCTTTTAGATGCTCCTTCTTTTTCTATTATTATTCCTAGATATTAAACTCCTTTTATTTTTTATATATTTAAAAGAAGTCGAGAAACTCTTTATGCGTTCCTTATTACGAGGTACTTCGGATTAATAACGTTGACGGCCAGTCCCCAATTGTATTATTCAGTCAATTTTCGAACAATATAATCCATATCTTCCTTGTCATTTACTACAATTTCTTGATCGGTCTTCTTCTTCTTTTTCTTCTTCTTCTTTTTATATAGACATGACACTCTGTCTGTTTTTCAATATGCCTTTGTAAGTTGTCATTCCATTGTTGTCGTGGTCTTCCTACTGATCGTCTTCCTATCGGGGAACAGTCTCTTGCCGTCTTCACTATTCTATTTGTTGTCATTCGGCTTATATGATCGTTCCATTCTACTCTTCTATTTCTTACCCAGTTTTTGATGTTCTCCACCTTCCATCTATATGATATATCTGTACTTTTAGCTCTGTCCCATAGTGTCTTACCATCAATGTTTCTAAGTGTTATCATCTCTGCTGTTTCTAACATCCTTTTTGTCCTCTCTGGGTCAGGTCTTGTTTCTGCCGCGTATGTCATTATTGGTCTGATAACTATTTTGTAAATTCTGCCTTCCTTTTCTTTCGCGATATTTTTATTTCTCCATATTGTTTCATTTAGGCAGCCTGCGGCTCTGTTTGCTCTATTAACTTGATCTTCAACATCGGTTTGAGCTTTCCGTAGCTAGATATTATGATGCCTAGATATTTAAACTCCATCACTTGTTCTATTATCTGACCTTGCAGCTCCAATTTACATCTTAGTAAATTTGCTGTTGTAACCATGCATTTTGTCTTTGTTGGGGAAATTAACATCTTAAAATTTCTGGCGGTTATATTAAATTGGTACAGCATACTTTGTAAATCATCTTCACTTTGCGAGAGTAGTATTGCGTCGTCTGCATAGCAGATTATTTTAATTTGTTTTTCTCCCATTTGGTATCCTTTTTTAGTTCTTACTTTTTTTATTTCATTCATAATCAGGTTGAATAATAGAGGACTCCGGTAATCGGTTAGTTCTTTTTCTACTTTTACTTTTATTGTGGTGTTTTGGTAGATATTTTCGATCGACAGTAAGCGGATAACGTCTTTTAATTTGACTTGGTCAAACGTATTTGTAAGGTACACGAAACATATATATATATATATATATATATATATATATATATATATATATATATATACCGGTTTGTAGTATTCTAATGATTTCTCTTGCACTTTCCTCATTATAAATATAGCGTCCTGGCATGATCTTCCCGACCTAAAACCTTGTTGTTCTTCTGCTAGTGTTATAATTTTATTCAATTCATTTGTTATCACTTTGGTTGTTAATTTTAGTGTTGTATTTAATAAATTAATTCCTCTGTAATTTTCCGGGTCTGATTTGTCTCCCTTTTTGAAGAGAGGTATTAGGATGCTTAATCTCCATTCTTGAGGAATTCTGTTTTGTTCTATTATTTTTTGAATTAGTTTTAATAGTTGTTTGCTCAGATCTGGTCCTCCGTACTTTTGGAGTTCGTTCTGTCCTCTTCTGGTGATTTTCTATTTTTTAATATCCTTAATGCTTCCTTTACCTCTTCCTTCTCAATATTTATTTCTTAGTTTGTCGTCACCTCTGGTGTTGGTGGTTCATCATTGTCACCTTTAGCAAACAGGGATCGAAAGTAGCCTACCATGTTTCCTTCTGAATGTGTTTCGTTTTTATTAGTTCATTCATCTCTTTTTTTGTCCTCTGATCATTCTCCATATTTCTTTTTGTGTACCGTAGAAATCGTGTTCCATCTGTTTTGAGAAACTCTGTCAGTGTTCCTTTTTTATTTGTCTAAATAAAGAATTCGTTTGATTTCTGATTCGTTTATAGTGGTTGTATGCCTGTTGTGTTTGTTGTGTTCTGTATTGTAAAAAGGCTTTCTTCTTTTCTTCACATTTTGTCTTCAATTCCTCTCTAAACCATGGTGTTTTCTTTTTTGATATGTTAGTGTTCGTTACTTTCCTCTCTCCAAGTGATTCTGTTGCTATGTTAATTATATTATTTTTGAGTTTTTTCCAGCTTTCTCGATGTTATCGTTTTCTAATATTTCATTCCCAGCGATCTTCTCTGATATTCTTTTCCTGTATAAGTATTCCGTCGATTCCGTATTTAGTCCTTCGACTTTGATTTTTATTTGTGTTGGCGCCGCTTTGTTGGGTGTGAAGTATTTTAGGATTATTCTTATTTTACATAATACTAGGCTATGGTCACTACCTACATCTGCCGAGTTGAGGCATCTTACGTCGATTATTTTTGATAGATGTATATCTCTGTTGGTTATAATATAATCTATCATAGATCTTTGTTAACGGGTGTTATTAAATGTATATTTGTGTTGGTCTTAGTGGTCAAAACATATGTTGTTTATTCTTAGTTCGTTATTCGTGCAGAAGCTAATCATCAGTTCTCCATTTTCGTTTTTAACATTCTCGTTATGTTTTTGTTTGATGCCGGTATTACTTGGTTGCCTATTCGAGCGTTAAAATCCCCAAATATTTTCATCTTTCCTCTGACTTGATCTACTACTTATTGCAATTGGTCCTAAAATGCTTCTCTTGTTGTTTGAGGCTTTCTGAGCCTTATACTCCGAGGATGTTCAGGTCTTCCTTCTTCATTCTTATCTTTGCTGTTACTATTCTTTCTGATATGTATATTTCTTTCTTGATCGGTCGGTGTAGAAACATTTGGCAGGCACTGGCTCCTAATGTCTATTTCCATTCCTGTGCTTCTTCTTCTTCTTCTTTTGGTGCCTATTCGTTTCGAATATTGGGGATCATTCGGGCTATAGTTATTTTATTAAATGCTTTAAATAGATTAGTTGTTCTTGTGGAGAACCATTTTCTCAGCTTTTTTAACCATCATACTCTTCTTCTCACAATTCCTCGCTTTCCGAATACTTTGCCTTGAAGAATTATTCTTAGTAATCTGTATTTAGTGCCGTTTCTCATTATCTGTCCGAGATATTCTAACTTTCTTCTTTTCATCATATACATCACTTCTCTTTCTTTTCCAATCTTCGTAAGTACAGTCTCGTTGGTTATGTTATCCGTCCATGATATCCTTAGGATTCTTCTGTATAGCCACATCTTTAACGTTTTAAGTTTTTTTTTTTCATCGCTTTAGTTAGTGTCCAGTATTCAACTCCGTAGTATAATATTGAGAAAATATAATTTCGTAGGAGCCTTACTTTTATCTCCAGGTTAAGGTTGTGGCTTTTAAAGAGTTAGGCCATATTGTTGAATGTACTCCTAGCCTTCTCTATTCTACATTATACTTCTTGTGAGTCATCCCATTGTTCGTTTACTATTGTTCCAAGATCGGTAAACTGTTTTACTCGGTCCACTGGTGTATTCTTGACAAGCAGTTGGACGTCTCTAATTTTATTTTTGCTGATGACCATAAATTTATTTTTTTATATGTTTACTTGTAGTCCAAATCTTTTACTTACTTTATTTACTTTGTTTATTAGTTGCTGTAAACTGTTTAAACTATCTGCAAAAATAACGGTGTCATCTGCATAGCGGATGTTGTTTAGGCGTTCTCCATTTAATAGGATTCCATGTTCGCAATTTTCCAAGGCTTTACTAAATATTTCCTCTGAATATAGGTTAAATAATATAGGTGAAAGTATACATCCTTGTCTAACGCCTTGCAGAATCTGAATCAAGATTTGTTCTTATTGTGGCTGATTGGTTCCAGTATAAATTTTGTATTATACGCCGGTCTTTATCATCTATTTGGGCTTTTGTTGGAACATCCATACTTTTTCGGTGTTAAACGGTATCAAATGCTATTTGGTAGTCCACAAAGGAGGTGTAGATATCGCAAGTCATATATCCGCATCTTTGGAATAATACCTATAGACTAAACATTGCATCTCTCGTACCTACGCCTTTCATGAATCCAAACCGTGTCTTTTATTATCTCTTCGCATATCTTGTATATTCTGCGATGTATAATTTTAAGAAAAAGTTTTATTATATGGCTAATTAGACTTATTAGCCTATATTGTCCGCACTTTTTCGCTCCTGTTTTTTGGTAACGTAATAAAATCTGAAACTAGCCAATCTTTTGGAATATTGCCTATATCACAGA